GTGTGAGAAACGGGCGGGTACGGGGGAGTGTGTGAGAAACGGGCGAGTACGGGGGAGTGTGAGAAACGGGCGGGTACGGGGGTGGAGTAAGAAACGGCTGGGGTTTGAGAAATGACTCAGGCTTATATGTGTTTTTTTTTCTCTCTCCTTTCGTCCCTTCCCCCCCCATCCCTCTCTCCCCCACTTCATCCTCCTCTCTCCCACCTGCTCTCTTCCCCCTCCCCAACCTCTATCTGTCTCCTCCCGGCCCATCTTTTCCTCAACCCCTCCCCCCATGCTGCCTATTGTATCTCTCCCTGACACCGCCCTCACTGTCTCTCCCCACTGTCTCTGCCCCCCACGTTGACCCCACTCTCCTTCCATTCACCACTCCTCTCTCCAACTCCTCTATCCCTCCTTGGTCTGTTACTTTACTCTCTCACCCTGTCACTGTCTCCTCTGTTTGCTGGCTTTACCTGTTTCTACTCTGTCACTGTGTTCCTGTCTCTCCCCTACCTGATTGGCACTCTCCCTGATCTCTGCCTGGTTTCTCCCTGTCCCCCCTCCGACCCTTGCCCAGGTGCTGAATCCCTACTACCTGCGGGTGCGCAGACTGAACCCTACCACAGGAACCTTTTCCAAGATGAGTGTGCAGTTGTACCAGGTGGATGGTCGCACCTACCTGGTGGATTTCCGCAGCATTGAAGGTGATTATAGTGAGAGTCCCTGGCCAGCTCCACTCTGTCAGAGCGCTGCTGTCTCATGGGGCATCCAGATTCTGCTCAGGCACCCTGCGGTGGGCTACACAGTTGCGTTGAGAGGGTTACAGAGTGGGGTTTGATACCAAGGAAGGGAGATGGCGAGGCATTAGATGACTGGGGTGGAGGGGTGTAAGGGTGGGATATAATGCAGGGATACATTAAGGGTTGGGGGCACAGTGTGAGGATACCCTGTGTGTGTACAGGGGTGTACAGAGTGGAGTACACTGTGGGGCGTGGTACAGGGTATGACACTGGGGAGGAGGCTCGGGGTAGAATGTGATGGTGGGAGGGGGCAGATAATTTGGTACATTGTGTGAGGCGGGCCACAGGGTGGGTACTAATTGGGGAGAGGGGGTATTGGGGTTCAGGCTCTGGGCGATGGTTTTGGGGGGAGCGGGGGTGGGGCTCTGGGTGATGGTTTTTGGGGGGAAGCGGTTGAGGTGTGTGCAGTAGCATGAGGACACTGTGACGAGGCTGTTCCTGCTCCACTCCATGGTAACAGTGTCCATGTTCATTACAGCAGATGAGGTGATTGAGCCCAAGTCTGGCTCCACCACCCCTCGGCGTTCCGGATCCATCAGCAGCTACCATCGGAGCAGCTCCAAAAACGACTCGGACACTGATTCCGCGGGGAAGATGGCTGATGGAGCCTTGTCATGTTCTGGGAGCTCGGGGGAGTCTGGCCTCCCCTCGGAACTGGGCCCAAGGCCTGGCAGCCACATTATCGAATTCTTCGAGATGTGTGCTAACCTGATCAAGTTACTGGCTCGGTAACAAATGACAGATCCACCTTCCTCTGCCTCCGCATTATAGTCTGATCGACTCTGACAACGCAATGCACAAAGCAACATGGAGAAACAGTTTAATGCTTCAAAACATCTTTCTGTAAACCTCTAGCTCACCTTCAGCATCACGCTACTATTGGCAGGTGTGAATCAGCAGTCAGGCTGAGATTCTGGACAGAGTTACTAATCTGTTTCCTTTTCTGTCTCTCTGTCACTCACGAGCTCTGTCCTTAGTTAGCTGTACCTGTTTGTATGCTGATGTGAATCCATTGCTCTGCTGCATCTCTTACAACAGTGGATGGATCAGGAGTCTCACTGGGCCCCAGTGTTAGCCCTCTCCCTCCCCACCCCCCCCCAAACCTTGGCGGCTCTCTTCCCTCTCCCTCTGGCCATCCTGAGTCACTAGTAGAATGGGTCGGCAGGCCTTCAAGTGAGATGCTGGGGCAGAAGAGTGTGAGGGGAGGTCTCATCTCTCTCAGGCATACCCCAGTCTACACCTTGGCACGCTCCAGGGGGCAATCTACACCATTTGCTGGGCTTGCTCTGTCTGCTGTCTGCTAATCTCAAACGTGAACAGTTCCTCCTCTGCAGATTGTTGCACAGTATCAAACTGCTGTATTTAGGGAATGTCAGCTTAAACTCTCTTATCTTTGGTGACCCCCTTTGAAGGTGGTTCCCCTGTAGGGATGTTGTGGATTGTGCAGACCCAGCAGTTGGGTTGATGGTCAGTGAAAAGGGCTTCCAGCTCACTGGAGCCTAACTGTGTTGTGGGGACAGCTGCTGCCAGAAAGGAAAGTGCTCTCTTACAGGGTGTGTTTCAGTCATAACCTGGATGTGGCCTCAATTGCCCGCGCTCCGAGTTAGCCGGTTTCTCTTCTGAATTGGTGTGGCAGCCCTCATTGTCAGGACTTTCCTGTGGATACATTCCCTGAGATTTATCATTCCTATTGGAGATGCTTGTCATCCTTCAGGTTTTTGGGTTATGTGTCTCTGTACAGCCCACTTATTAGCACTGAATGTTCTGTGAGATTTGTGACTACTGATGTTGGTTTCTGATTAAAGCTGAAGGCTTGGGGGCTCCCAGACAGATTCAGATGGATCACAGGCTCAGGGATATGAGCCATCTCCTACTCATTGAGACATAGCATTCCACATTCCCATTGATTGTAATTTTGCTTTCATGTTTCTGACTTAAAGCATAGTTTGTCCAAGAAAGGGAAAATTCACAACAGTGAAGGGAGATAGAAGTGACAGGGAGTATACCTCTTCTTTGTCACTGCCCTGGGAGTGCTTGACAGGGGCAGTGTAGAGGAAGCTATAGTTCCAGTATAAAAGGGTAGAGAGAGGTTTACTCCTATCGAACCCTGTGCTGGACATTCCATAATTGAAAGGATGGCATCAGGCTCAGTTATGAAGACCCCTGGAGTTATTGATCCTGCTGCTTCTCAGTGTTGAGTTTGTGGGAAGCAGTCTCTCAGGTGAAGACAGCCGAGGTACACACAGATTTCAGGAAGGGAATCGGAGGGAGTGGTAGAGGGGCTCGGGATTAGTGTCAGGCTAAATGGATAATTGCCAACCCCATTAATGGCAGCAGGATCTTCCCCACCCCCCTCGCCCCTCCCCCCACCCCTCCCCCCCCCCCCCACCCCTCCCCTCCCCTCCAGCTGCTGGATCTCTGATTTGATAAGAGTGCTGTGACAGCAGGGCCATGGTTGGAATGGAGGGATGAATTAGGAAAAAGCTGTGGTTCTGACTGTAGCAGCTTCTGTCAATCCGGAATGGAGTGTAAACTGTGTGAGAAATTTGCATACATCTAATTTTGTAGATTTATTTTTTAGGCTCTATCTATTATGCACACTATTATGCACACTGGTATCTATTACTGATTATTATAGTTCACCTTTTGCCACTTAGTGGCATTCTTAAAGTATTAAAATTAACAAAAGCAATTAATTTTGTAAGAAAATAAACTCATAATTGATTTTACAGTCATCCAAGCCATGAGTGCTGTTTCATTTCCAGCATTCTCCGTTTGTCTGCAGCGCTCCCTGCAGGAGACTCAACATTTCTGTTACAATGCTGGTATATGTGAATTGCCACACTCTGCCTGTTCCTTAGGGTCTGGAATGTACTGCCTGAGAGTGGAGGGGGGCAGGTTCACTCGGCATTCATAGAAATCATAGAATCAATTGTTTGATCTGAAGTAGAAGTATTTGGACGATGAGAGAGAAGGTGGGGAGTAGGACAGGGTGAAATACTCCTCCAATCTGTAACCATTCTGTGGTTCTAATGCATTTGAAATGTCATCACCTTTGCAATGTGGTTATTTCAAAAGCCAATTTGCACACAGCAAGCTCTCTCAAAGAGCAACGTACTGAAGATATTAGTTGACAGGTACACTCTGAACAGCAGTCTGGGGGATCTCCCTGCTGTGCAGCAGGTGCTGAACTGTACAAAGGGTCCCGACCCGAAATGTCAGCTTTCCTGTTCCTCTGATGCTGCCTGGCCTGCTGTGTTCCTCCAGCTCCTCACTGTGTTATCCCTGACTCTAGCATACACAGTTCTTACTATCTCTGTACAAATAGTATGTTGGCTTTCATTGCGAGAGGAATCGAATGCAGTAGCAGAGATTATTTACTGTAATTGTATAAGTGAGGCCATGCCTGGAGTATTGTGTACAGTTTTTGTCTCCTTCTATGAGGAAGGATGTTTAAGCAATAGAGGGACAGCAATATAGCTTTACCAGACTGATTACTGGTGTGGTGTGACTGATATATGAAGATATACTGGACTGGTTAGCACGACAATCCAGGGAAAGCTAGCCAATTGGCTTGACGGTTAGAGACAGCGGCTGGTGGTAGAGGGTTATTTTTCAGACTGGAGGCCTGTGACCAGTGGTGTTCCGCAGGGCTTGGTGCTGGGTCCATTGTTGTTTGTCATTTATTTGAATGGTTTGGATGAGAATATAGGAGGTATGGGTGGAAGTTTGCTGATGACACCAAAACTGGTGGAATAGTGGACAGTGAAGAAGGTTATCTAAGAGTACTGTGGGATCTTGATCAGCTGGACCAATGGCAGATGGAGTTTAATGCAGGTAAATATGCGGTGTTGCATTTTGGTAAGACAAACCAAGGCAGGACTTTACGCAGTCAACAGTAGGATTCTGAGGAGTGTTGTCGAACACAGAGACCTTGGGTTCAGGTACATAGTTCCTTGCAAGTGACACCACAAATAGACAGGGAGGTTTAAAGGCTTGCCTTTATTGGTCACAGCATTGAGTATACGAGTCGGAATGTCACTTTGCAGTTGTACAGGTCATTGGTAAGGAATGTTTGGTGTATGGTGTGCAATCCTTGTCTCCTCGCTTATAGGAATGATATTATTGAATTGGAAAGGGTACAGAAAAGATTTACAAGGATGTTACTGGGATTGCAGGGTTTGAGTTATAAGGAGAGGGTGGATAGGCTGGGACCTATCCCCCTGGAGCGTTGGAGGCTGAGGGGTGACCTTATAGAGGTTTATAAAATCATTAGGGGCATGGATGGGGGGAGTAGACAAGGTCTTTTTCCTCGGGTAGGGAAGTCCAAAGCTAGACGGCACAGGTTTAAGGTGAGAGGGGAAAGATTTGAAAAAAACCTGAAGGGCAGCTTTTTCTCACACGGTGGTGTGTATATGGAATGAACTGCCAGAGGAAGTGGTAAATGTCAGTGCAGTTATAATATTTAAGACATTTGGACAGGTACATGAATGTGAAAGGTTTCAAAGGATGCATCCAGCAGAGGGCGACTCGGAGGGAGAGGCATCACTTCGGCACATACATCAGAGCCTGGAAGCAGTCACCTGCACCAAGGAGAGGATCATCGTGGGCCTGGTATCAAGGAATGCTTAAGGCCCAAACATTACATCACTGCAGTGACATGCTCCTCCTACAGAATGTGGGAGATCAGGGAGACTTCCATCGTCCATGATGACTACCCCTGTGGGAAGTGCACCCAGCTACAGCTCCTGGGAGACCGTGTTAGGGAGTTGGAGCTGGAGCTGGATGTGCTCAGGATCATCTGAGATGCTGAGCCCATCATAGATAAGAGTTTTAGTGAGGTGGTCATACCCCAGGTACAGGCAGAGAGTAGCTGGATGACCACCAGGAAAGGCAAAGAGAGTAGGCAGAGTGTGCAGGAATCCCATGTGGCCATTCCCTCGAAGACAAGTATTTTGTTTTGGATGCGGTTGGGAGGGTGATAGCTGATCGGGGAAAGCACCAGTAGCCAGGGTAGTGGCACTACGACTGGCTCTGGGGTACAGAGGGAAAGGGTAAAGGTAAACAGGACCTTAGTGATAGGAGACTGGATAGATTGGGGGGGCAGACAGGATATTCTGTGCCTGCAGATGGGAATCCAGGATGGTGTGTTGCTTCCCGGGTGCGAGGGTCAAGGATGTCTTGGAGCAGCTGCATAACATTCTCAAGGAGGAGGGTGATCGGCCAGAAGTCACCGTGCACAGTGGCACAAATGACATAAGAAGAAACAGGGATAAGGTCCTGAGGAATGATTATATAGAGCTAGGGAAAACAAAAAGTTAAAAACCAGGACCTCAAAGGTGGTAATCGCCAGATTACTTGCAGTGCCACGTGCTGGTGAGGGTAAGAACAGGAGGATATAGCAGATGAATGTGTGGCTAAAGAATGGGTGCAGGGGGCAGGGATTCAGATTCCTGGATCATTAGGATCTTTTCTGGGACAGAGGTGACCTGTTCCAGAGGGACAGGTAGCACCTGAACTGGAGGGGGACCAATGTCCTGGTGGGCAGATTTGCTAGAGCTACAAGGGAAGGTTTGAACTAGATTGGCGGTGGTTTGGGATCCTCAACAGTGCGGAGGCAAGTGCAACGCTGGAAGGAGATACAGTAATCAGAAATAGCAAGTTGAAAGGACAGGTCAGGCTGGAACAGGACAGGGAGTGAGGAATACCTGTTGGATTAAGCTGCATCTATTTCAGTGCAAGAGGGCTGACAGGTAAGGTCGATGAAACCAGGGCGTGGATAGGTACGTAGGGCTGTGATATTATAGCCATTACAGAAACATGGTTAAGAGAGGGACAGGACTGGCAGTTTAATGTGCCAGGGTGCAGGTGCTTTAGGCGTGACAGAGGTAGAGGAAAGAGGGAAGGGGGAGTCGCATTTTTGATTAAGAGGATATCACAGCTTGAGTCAGAGATGAAATAACTGAGGGATCATCCAGTGAGGCTTTGTGGGTGGGGCTAAGAAATAAGAAGGGGATGGTGACGTTATTGGGTTGTACTATAGTCCCCCAAATAGTCAACGGGAATTAGAGGAACAAACATGCAGGGAGACTGGGGAGACTTGCAGGAGAAATAGGATTGTCATAGTGGGGGTTTTAATTTTCTTAGCATAGACTGGGACTGCCATAGTGTTAAGGGCTTAGATGGGGTGGAATTTATTACATATGTTGAGGAAAGTTTCCTCAAGCAGTACATAGAAGGTCCTACTCAGGAAGGGGCAAAACCTGACCGACTCTTGGAAAATATGTCAGGACAGGTGGGTGACATGACAGTGGGGGAGTACTTTGGGACCAGAGACCATAGTTCTGTTAATTTTCAAATAGTTATGGATAAAGACAAAACTGGTCCACAGGTTCAAGTTGTAAATTGGGGCAAGGTGAATTTTGATGGAATTAGACAGGAGCTTGCAGGGGGTGATTGGAGTAGTTTGTTTGCAGGCAAAGGGACCTTTGGCAAGTGGGAGGCCTTTAAACGTGTGATAGCTAGAGTTCAAGGCCAATATGTTCCTGTGAGGGTGAAGGGCAAGGTTGGTAGGAGTAGGGAACCCTGGATGACAAGAGATATTGAGTCTTTGACCAGAAAAAAGGAGGCATGGCTCAGGTACAGGCAGCTGGTATCGAGGGAATCCCTGCAGTTATATAGGGGGATACAGGAGTTTACTAAAGAACGAAATCAGGAGGGCGCAAAGGGGGCATGAGATAGCTTTGGCTGACAAGATTACGGTGAATCCAAAGAGATTCTTTATATATATTAAAGGAAAAAGAATAACTAGAGAGAGAATAGGCCACCTCAAGGACCAAAGTGGACATGTATGTGTGGAACAGCAGGAGATGAGCAAGGTACTTAATGAATATTTCTCCCTCTGTGTTTACCGTGAAGAAAGACAGGGAAATTTGGGAACTTGGGGAAGTTAGTGGGGATATCTTGGGGACAGTCCCTATCACAGTACAGGAAGTGTTGGGAGTATTAGAATGTATGAAGGTGGATAAATCTCCTGGTCCTGACCAGATATATCCAAGAACCCTGCAAGAGGCTATGGAGGAAATTGTGGGGGCCCTGGCTGATATATTTGCATCATTGTTAGCCACAGATGAGGTCCCGGAAGACTGGAGGGTAGTGAATGTTGTGCCCTTTTACAAGTAGGGCTGCAAAGAAAAACCTGGGAATTATAGATCAGTAAGCTTAATATCTGTGGTAGCTAAGTCACTTGAGAAGATTTTGAGAGAAAAGATATACATGCATTTGGAAAGACAGGGTTTGATTAGGAGTAGTCAGCATGGCTTTGTGCATAGGAGATCATGGCCTCACAAATTTGTTAAAAGTTCTTTGATGAAGTGACCAGGAAGGTTGATGAGATCAGGGCAGTAGACATAGTCTGCATGGAATTCAGTAAGGCCTTTAATAAGTGGTAGGCTACTCTGGAAGGTTAGTTTGCATGGAATCCAGGGAGAGCTGGCAAATTGGATACACAATTGGCTTGATGGTAGGAAGCAGAGGGTAATACTGGAAGGATGCTTGTCGGACTGGAGGCCTGTGACTAGTGGTATACCTCAGGGGTCGGTGCTGGGCCCATTGCTGTCTGTTATCTATATCAATGATTTGGATGAGAATGTACAAGACATGATTAGTAAGTTTGCAGATGACACTAAAATAGATGGTATCATGGACAGTGAGGAAGGTTATCAGAAATTGCAGC